ACATCCATCGCGGTGATCTTCATGTTCAAGCACGGACGGTCCAAGTTGTAAGCTTCAAAGTAGCCGATGCTGATGGGCTCGGCTGGAGCTGATCCGACGACGATTTCAGTTCCGCAGTTTGAGATGCAGCCATTCTCGCCCTCAGCCGATGTTCCGGGCGCGCCGGTCTCCGACTGAGAAATGGTGCAGAAGTCCTTATTGATACCACATTGACCGTGCTTGTTCTGAAGGAGGGAAACAGATTAGCTGCCGTGAAGAGTTGATGGAAATGGAGGTGTGATACGTACACAGCAGGCATTCAGGGGACAAGGGTTCAGGCTGGCGAGATCGACACCTGCTCCCGGCTGGGTGGTTCCAGGCTTCTGTGGGCCGCACACAGCGTTGGCAATGGGAGCTGGCATCGGAGGTGCACCAGAACTAAGGCAGATATACTGGTAAGCTTGCACGTTCGAGCACCCCTGCCAGCCCCAAGTCTGGGTGTTGAAGCTCTCAATCTCATCATTGGTTAGACTGTTGGCTGCTCCTAAGGAAGAGCAGCTGTCGCCAGGCACGACGTAGTAAGAGAAACAGGTCCCATCTGAGTTGGGCTGCGGGCGGAAGTCGGGCAGATCACCGGCCGAGCAGCAGACATGCTGTCCCACTTGCAAAGTTGAGCAGAGTGTCGAGTCCGGGTTATAAGTGGTGAAGTCGCTAGCGGAAATGCCACACTCCGCCGCCAAGCTCGCGCCTAAGTAATATGGATTAGTCTTCTGTGATTTGGCGGAAAGTCTCACATGCGAGATACTCACAGCTATCCCCGGACACGACCTGAACAGTTGAACATTCAGCTCGTCGTTGAAGCATGTTCGACCTGCTAGACACCGATGAGGCGGTACCGGCGGTGCTGTTGGCACGGGTACTGTTGCCAAAGCTCGCAGTGCTGTTGTTGGAAATACTGGGAACCGACAACGTAATGTCCTGCCAGTCTTCCACCTTGTCGAAAGACGTGATGCACTCGCCGGACGCCCAAGTGGCAACGGCATCTTGTACGAACTTCAGATCGCGATCTCCGCTCACAGCAATACCGAGGCTGTATCTAGAGCTACGGCCGTCCTTAGCACATAATTGCGCAACGACACTGTCGGAGAAACCAGTAGTCTTGATCTTGGTGATGAACTGACGCAGCACAGATGGCGGGATATCGCTGACGCCGGATCCCGCGAAGAGACCGAGAGCGACCGTATTTGAGTATGCGAAGGTGGTGATGTCGGTGCTGTTCGACTCCCGTCGAGACAAAGAGGCGGCGAGCTGTTCTGACGCGGCTTCAAAGTCCTTCAACTCTGCCGGTGTCTTGGTCACGTTGAAAGCCAGCTGCAGTGACTCTTGGACCTTGGTCACGCTGCATTTCGGCAGACATGACGGGCCTTGAGTGGTGTTGTTGCTGGTGACGTTGCTTGCGCCCATTGCGAAGCTGGCGGTACAAGCGCGAACAGTCTCGTCCTTGCGCAAAGAGTTGGAGGGGTTGAAATCGAGAAGCATAGTCTCGTTGCACATTGACAATCGTCCGAGTCTGGGATACAGAGTCCAGTTGCCTGAGTTCAAGCCGGACTCATTGCACCCAGCGGGGCAGCGACTCAGAACCAAATCAACGAGTTCTGGAGCGAGCGTGTTGTTGCTGATGGCTGCTGGAGCAGCCGAAGTGGTTGCAAGTGGATGTGCTGCCAAGTAAGAGGCCAGCTTCTCAGAGCCATTCTCAATTGCCGTGGCTGGATGGGATAGCATGAGGGTGATGGTCACCACCCCGGCCGTGATAGACCGTGGTACGAATCTCATTGTTGATACGAGTAAGGAACGTGGATGATAGGAAAGGGAACGCAGCAAAAGGCTGGAAGGAACGTGGTGCCGAGGACAAGAGCAACAGGAGGGACTGTGTTCGAGCCGTGATAGAATACTTATCAAGACGGTCTCCTCAGACCACAGAAGGCAGGCTGGCGAATAGCTCCGAGGCAGTTCAAGTGCCTCGTCAACTGCCATATCCCTGGTCGGCGAACTGCCGCGCTAGACATGGGTTGACGCTGGTTCCCGACTCTGCTGCGCCTGCGTCTCGCAGATATGCTTATGTGTTTTTGCGTTTTTGTTCGTCACGTCCCACCAAAAGTAACATCTGGTTTCCTTACGTCCTCGGGCGTGAATCTGCTTCAGGCGTGTGCTATCCGACGCCAGGTTTAGAAGTCTTGGCTGCCGATCGTCTTGCACAAACGACATCGTTTGGTCCGTCTAGTCCTTAGCAGAAACATTCCGCAAGGGCGAGGAAATCGCGGTTGTGCTAGTGAGTTACTCAGTCGTCAATTGTGGAGGTGATGCGATGCCAGTCACCACCACCTGGCCTGGCCCTACGAAGAGGTGGAGCAGTTCGCGGCCCCTGCTAATCGGTGCCTAGAATTCATCGGGGACGGGCCGACCCCTGTTCTGCACGTTTGCGGCTACGCTCCGGACAATTCTCTGCCTAAAGCAACTTCATTTCCCAGGGACGCAGGGAGAACGCCATGGATCTGAATCCTGGCCGAGTAATGGTGCGATTCGTACACCCCATTCTGGAATCGCTCTGCTCTGAGTGAAATGCCATTGGCTGACAGGCACTTGAGTTGCAGTATCGACGCGTACACCCTTGCTGGCATCTGAACCAACTGACCTCTCGTGCCAATATTTCACGCACATCGTGAGGCCATCAAGTCAGACAAGTCAGATTTTAGCCCTTGAAATGGATATCGAAGTGTGATCGGATATCCCGAATAACGAACTGATGATAGCGCCCGCTAATAGTCTGCGTGCCAAGTCACCGCGCTGCAGAACTTAGCCCGCTGACTTTTATTGCTGAGGTTTCCACCTTGGTTGCTACTGCACAATGACCGAGGCTTGTAGCCTGAAAGCTCCCTCTGATACTGCCCGACTACCTTATTACTTGGGTTGGGATATCTCGCTGGTGTAGTTTCGCCTCTTTCCCACTATTTCCCATCTGCCATGGCAGTCGGTCCTTCAACTTTCATTACCATCTCACCATAGTCATTCGTTTCTCGCCAACAACTTCAGGATGAAGTTCTGGGCTGTTGTCGCTCTTGCAGCTGCCGTTGCGGCTGTCCCGTTCGAAGGTGTCTCTTTGCACAAACGTGCCGGGGCAAGAAACCATATTGGATATCGGATTGTCTCCAAGGTACATTTTGTTGCATCTTCCTGTCTCCCCTTGTTTAAAATGGGCAACGTCCTTTGCTTTTCAAGTCCTGACATATTCAAAACAGGCTGAAGCTGATGCCATCAACGCCAATGATGGAAAGGCTGTGCAGTCGCTCGGAACCTCGGGTAGACAGCTGGGAACCGGTACCTACATATCCCCAGCATTCCAGGACTTCCCAGAGTACGATCCTTCCAAGGGAATACCCTGGGACTGTGTCGTGACCATGGACACCGATACCTGGAGCGGACTGAAGAAGGCATGGATACCGAAATTTTACGAGTTCCCGGAAGACAAGGAAAAGAACCCGGACAAGTGCAAACCACTCAACCTTTGGACCCCGAGATGGAGTGAGTACCTGACACCACCGTTGACCATACGTTCCGTCACTAACATAGTGCCTAAAGAGGCCAATCGAAAACGCTTCTTGACCAGCTTGGACTCCTCTTTTACGGAGGAGAACACAGTCCTTTTCTCCAAGGTCTTGGGTCATGAGGAGAAGATTCAAGCCCTGATTCCGCCAGCGATCGTTGATACTGGAGTGGTCTACATGTCTCAGTGTGCTGAACGAGAGACAGAATCCAATAAGCAGATTGGCAGTCTTGGAAGCGTTGATTGGGACACTGAAAAGATGGAAGGCTGGAATTTGGGCTCTGATGCTGTATGATTGAACCAAGGAGCCGTCAAAGGCTGTCGCAAGGTTCATTCAGGCCCTCATGTTTCGAAATGTTCTGCGCCAATGCCAATCGAGCTCATTGTTCGTCAAAAGCCACTGACATGCACTTCTCGCCTTCCCGGATGGCAGAAGATGATGATTTGGCCGCTGGACGATCATTAGAAGAGATGGATGAGCCTGATGATTGCTTTTCCCCGCCTTGAAGTGTCAGACCTGCATCTTTGAATGATGCCTTATTAAAACCGAGTTAATGCCCTCATTTCAGCTTTCACAAGATATTCTATAACTAGGCTCTCAGTTTCTACCTTCGATATATCATGATGAATGGCATGTAACAAGGTGATGGCAGCCTTTGCCAAATCGTGGCGGTGTGCAATACTGAGCATTATGGAGCCAGTCTCCAGCATTTTCTATGGAAGTAATACAAGCAGTAGAATACCATACAGCAACACGAGGCTGAGGGAGCTTTGAATACAAAGAAATTGTCTCCAATTTCATGATAAGAAAAAAGTTCATGGGGTGTGGCAAGGAGTGTAATTTGGCAGGTTGATTATCTACTTGGCTAGCCGCAATACCCGAGCCTTGGTTCTTTCTTTCTCTTTTTCTTTGGTTCTTTTTCTTTTTTCTTACTTGGAAGATAAATATCTCTCATCTGATTGATGCTGTTCCTTGCCCTTAAGTTCTTTGACTTCTGCATTATATCTGGTTCACGTTGATCATACAGCACCCCCCTTTGACTTGGCTTTGTAGGTGGTTTGGGAAGGTGGACCCGAAGTTGAGGGGAGGTGCGACTTCCAATCTCTCCAACAACCCGCGCGCCTTGGGATTCGGGGAAGGCACGTAAAGTAGACCTTCGAAGGTGCCTTCTTCTCCATGCTGCCTGGATCTCCACAAAACTTGGTTGAGACCTCGACTTTTTCACCATCCGTTTTCTATCCTCTTCCACGCTCTGCGCAATTTCTTCCACCCAAGTTCTCTGCAGCGCCTTCTTCCCACGACTCGCTTCCTCCCTCGCCTGAAATCGATTTGCGAGCAGGCTTTCAAACTTCTTCTGTAACCCAATACCACCAGTTCTGCGCCAATTGCACGCTTCTCCGATTGCTCTAGACTTCTGCAATGCAGCCGCTCAAGCGTAAGCGACCAGCGCGTCCCAAAGTCGAACCAAAGTGTTCAGACACCGAAAGTTCGACATCAAGCGACGACAGCGACTATTCCGTTCACCATGACGTTGTTGCATCAGGCACTCATATGCTATACCTCAATCGAGACTATGTGCCGTCTTGGACAGAAGCGGACGCTTTCAGGGAATGGTACCAAAATTGGTAAGTTGGCCTTCGTCGCTGATAATTTCCTACTTCTGTGTTGTTAAAACGGATGCAGGAAGGACGCAATTGTTCACAATTTCAACCTTGCACCCCGACCGTTCATCCTCGAGCAAAACACGACCAATACCGAGATTCAAATTACCGCCCATCGCATCACCGAAGGAGTCGCAGGTTCGCCTGGCAGAGAACTACTCGGGTACATCAAGTACATCAAGCGGACCGGAACCGTGGAGCTTACGAACTTCAATGCTGCTCTGGAGATTCAGCACCTCAACCTGGGAGGAACGACAAAACGCCACAACTCCAAGACAGCCGGTACTCATGGAGAGGGATTTAAAATTGCGGCTCTTGTCATGGCACGTGAACACCGTGAAATTCGTATTACGTCGTCCAGCGCCTATTGGAGCTTTGGATTTCAAGGTCCAGCCGAGGACGAGTTCGCTTGCCAGATTACCAAGCCGGCAGCGTCGACCATCAAGAAGCACAAAGATTCGCTCTTGTCCAAGACACGTCATGGACAGGTGAGGGGAGATCTGACCTCCTACGTTCATCAGGATGTATCCGTCAGAATCTCCACAATAAAAGGACAAGGTTTCATCACGCAGGCACAATTCCAGGATTGGACCAAAGTGTCAATTGATCTCCATTGCCCATCGCCAGAGAAGATCATTCGCACTTCTTCCGGAGACTTGCTTCTCGATCGAAAGTTTGCGGGTCGTATTTATCTCAAAGGCCTTCTAGTTTTCGAAAATGACCTATGGGCGCGAAGGTACATATTTGGCTACGACTTCGCATCTGGGAGTATCAACCGCGATCGAGAGCGCATGATGGACCGCACCGAGGAAGCTAAAATCATTGCCATGATTTGGGAAGCTGCCATCGATCAGCGGCCGGACCTCACAAAAAAGTATGTTGACTTGTTCGGCAATAGTGACAACCAAGATGTTGCATTTTCGGACCGTGTGGTGTCCAAACGGCTGGCTGAACATGTCTGGCAACATCTGCTGAAGGACAGGCCGGAATGTTTCTTCCACAATGCCAAACCTGGGCAATGGTCAAGGGCATCTCATCAGGTGTGTGTTTGTTTGACGCATGGATGTGTCCACTATAGTGACTGACGTGCTGCCAGATATATCTTATTGAATCGGAGCTCAAGAAAACGCCACGCATGCTCTCAGAGGCCCTTTGGAACACACTCCGAAAATTCGAGCTTGTCAAAACTCCAGAAGAGCATATTGACCACAAGTTTCTTTTATCTCGAGTGGTACCCGTACCAGAAGACAGTTTGGCGCAATCCATCGATCGAATGCTCCGAGCAGCCATGCGATTGGACCGCTCACTCGAAAGGCTTAGTCTCGTGTACGTGAAAAGCAAACATACAAGCATTGGAGTGCGTCTGGACCACCGCAGATCACGTGTTTTGATTCATGAGAAGTGGCTGCGTTTCGACGAAGCACACCAAAACACTTCTTGTGATGTTGCAAAGCTTGATGAAGCCCCGCACAAGCAGGCGGCCGTCTTCGCTTGTGACCATGTCGTGGAAGACCTTTTTGAGATGATTCTGAAGGCAGTCATGGGAGAAGGCAACTCTAGTTCATCGAGTACCAACAGTCTCCGATCAAAGGGCAGGGAGCTCTTCCGACAGACTCCAAGAGACATCCGGGTTACCGCTGGTTCTGTCCCTGGTCAGCTTCGAGTCAGCTGGACATGCAATGATGCGGGCGTTTTCTTGAAGCATCATGGGGAAAATATCTTCTTCTACGTATGTCTTCATCAAGATGCTTCCTGCGCATACAGACAACTGCACTCAAGGGTAGGCCATCCCACAAACTCCTCTCAATTGACCTTTGTATGCTAACCAAGACCGCTGCGAGCCAGCATCCTGCCAATGCCCCAGCCAGAAGATCCCACTTTCTGCATGCTCTGCCACGTTCGATGATCTCAATCATCTACTCACATATTTTCCGCTGGTTGCCCGCCACGAACATGGATCCTTCTTTGGAATAGTCCCGAAATCCATCGCACCGCCAGATCAATCCATGACAAACGGCGAGCAACCATTGTTGCGGGCGTATCAAGGGGACGATTGTGGCACTGTCGGGTCTGCGACGAGCAGTCTAGAATCCCCAGAGTGGCTCGAAGACGAACAGAACTGGTCAAAGTGGCACAGGGAGGATCTTTTGCATACACTGTCTGAGATGTTTGCAACGCGCCATGCGTGTAAATGCGACGTGAGTCATTCCTTTCGCAAAGATTCTCATACGAGCTGACTTAAATGTAGCCTTCGAACATTTTTACCAATGTCAGTTTTGAAAGCGTGCGTCTCAACTTCAAATTTGAAAAGAACAGGTACGTCGTGATCAAAGACAACTCTGACTCCTTCGGTGAATACATCGCCCTCGTACACGATGTCTTGCCCGGCAGCGTTGATTGCCAGGACACTCCGCACCTTAGTATCTCGAAGTACTCCTTTTTTCGATCAACATCAGTGTTGTGGGACTCAAAGGCACCGCTCGCCGACGACAATGATACGACGCCGATCGAGTTGATTCTGCATTTCTCGGAACCGAGGAGAATGGGCACTCCTTCCGATAGCGAGGTTGTGGCCATCGATAACATTGATCGCGCTGAACCTGTGCGTGCCGGGTTCGACATTGTACATTGTGTCCAGACTCCAGGTGCGTTGCGTTTCCGAATACCCAGTCTATGATTTGCACGTACAACTAATAAGTAATGCTAGAGAATCTCGATGCGGACAAAATGTTTTGCCGATTTGCCCGTTCCGTTCATGAAACTTCCATCAACTTGGTCCCGATTGCGCAGCACCTTCTGCCGCCACAAGAGAGACGGAGTAACCCAGGATTTAGTGGCACGGCTTCTGAAGGGGTAATCGATCTCAATCCAGGCGTTTTAGGTCTGATGGAGGGTTTCTGTTCCACGGGGTACCAACCCTTCGCCGCCTTCGGGTTCAACGAGAGTCATGACGCGAATTGGAAGGTACCAGAAGGCCGAATTCCTCCAAGCTTAAAGTGAGTATTTTTCTGACCGTGACAGATACGATACCCAAAATGTCCTGTGTTTGATGGCAGCTTCCCTGAGATTTTGGAGGACATCGACAGCGGCAAGCTCCTCGGCCCTTCTTGGCCGTCTGAGGATTCACCAACAACTGTGTTAGCTACCGGAAGCAACACAAACTTCGCCCTAAATAAGGGAAACAAGAAGATGCCATCTTTGAAAGCATTCCTTCATCCACTTTACATGGCTGAGAATGCAATGTTCTCCCGGTCTCCAGATTTCGCAGTGGTGCAGTTATCCCCTGCAGTTGTCCATCCAATGGCCGTCTATCGATTATGCGACAGCATTGTGGATTTCTTGGAGAGCGGAAACGCAGTCAAAGTCGACGTGTCATCGGCCAAGAGGTTCTGTGTTCCTCAAAGCCGTAGACTGGTGACTATGATCGTGTCATCTTGTCACGGACTGGCAGCTGTGCCGATCAGCCCCGCGCATCAGACGCCTAATCCCCTTGGACAACCAGAGGGCGAATTAACGCCTCGAAGCCTTGCCGACCTATCTTTTGAGAACCCCCGGACATCACAGACTGGATTCGTGTGCTCTCTTCCGCCTCGCGCTGTGCCAGACGAGAATACACCTAGCATCAGGTGTTACAATCATAACACCGGTCGCAAAATTCCCGAAGAGAAGGCCCGAATCGTTGACCTGGACTCTCATGACATAGACGTCATAACACATAGCACACATGATCTGGTTCACCCAAGTAAGCACCTCCCGAATTTCTCTGCAGAACCTCAAGAGACTGACTGACTATTGGTGAAGCTCGCTTGGACTCGCTCACCGTCCGTGAATTGGCAAGAATTCAAGGCTTTCCGGATGATTTCGTTTTCTACGGTTCCGAAAGACAACAGTACGAACATGTCACTTTCGCGCAGCCACCGGCGGTGGCAAGAGCGGCTGCAGAGTGTATCAAGACCGTCATCAAGCGGTTCAGAGAGGTGAAGCTTGGAGATGGAGAAGGTTGCCAGCGAAGGAACAAGCGTCGCAGAGAGGACAATGCCCCGATTCAGGAGGTTTCTACGGAGGGTGCGTAGGATGGATGTTCTGATTTGCTTGTTGGATGCCTCGAAAGAGACGCAGTATCTGCGCTACACTTTCAACCTTGCTCGTTGCTAAATTGCTTGTAACATAAACCCAAGCTCTCGTGAATTCTCACGAAGCAGTGATAGAATTTATTCCGGACAGGAACAACATGCCGTGCATTGAACTGCGTTGCCCGTTTTCAAGGTGGACATAATCGGGCGTGTGATAAGACATGGCACGTTGAAGTTTTTACAATGTGCTGCACTGATTATGACCAATTATCGAATACTGACCAGGCTCAAACAACATCGCGGACAGGACTTCATCATTAGCTGTGGGCTCGGCACTCTCCAACCGAGTCAGCACAGCTTGTGGAGATCCGGGGCTCGGTCGTGGATCCGAACCGAACCGAATGAACCGGGGTCTCCACACCCGATCCTCATCAATTATCGAAACGGACGCGAGAATGATCAGATTCTCTTCCGCAGGAGATCCAACGCGTCATGAAGGACCCTCTCCTGTGTCTTTTTCTTTTGACCTTGAGCGATTACCATCGTTCTCGTTCTTCGCTCTCACCATACCTCTCGGTAGCGATGGAGAACACGACCGCTCCACCCGTGGATCAGCTCGACGAAAAGCACCAACGATCCAAGTCACCGTCGCAGACCGCAATTGAAAATGACGACGGACCTCTTCCACCCCTGGCACCCTTCACGACAACGGCATCCTACGTCCCCCCGCCACTGCCACCATGGCGTCGCAAAGCAATCATGCTCGCCCTTTGCCTAACACTTCTCCTCTCGGCTCTTGACATCACGATCATCGCCACCGCCCTGCCGACGATCGCATCCACACTGCATGCCTCGGCCGCGCAATACGCCTGGGTGGGTAGCTCGTACACGCTCTCCAGCACGGCATCTACTCCAGTATGGGCCAAGATGTCAGACATTTTCGGGCGGAAGGGGACCATCATGGCTGCGGCGGCGACATTCATGGCAGGAAGTCTTGTCGCGGCGCTGGCTGGCTCGATCTCCGTCTTGATTGCCGGAAGGACGATTCAAGGACTGGGAGGTGGAGGCTCGTTGGTGCTTGTCACGATTGTGATTGGGGATTTGTTCAAGCTGGAGGAAAGAGCGAAGTATTATGGCATGACGGGCATCGTGTATGGCATCGCTAGCGCCGTGGGGCCAGTGCTGGGCGGAGTGTTTACTCAAACCATTGGTTGGAGATGGTGCTGTGAGTGTTTCCTGATTTGATCTGCTTTCTTGAGCCGTGTTGCTAACCGAGTACAGTCTACATCAATCTTCCCTTTGACGGAATCGCCCTCATCGTCCTCTTCTTCGTCCTCAAAGTCGAAACTCCGAAAGAACCTTTCATGACCGGCCTGCGCGAACTCGACTGGACTGGCTTTGCCCTCATCATCGGTGGGACGATCTGCTTTCTCTACGGCCTCGAGACTGGCGCGGGCGGGCTACTGCCATGGGACTCGGCGCAGGTAATCTGCCTCATCCTCTTCGGCGTCGTGATTCTCGCCCTCTTCATGGTCTGGGAAGCCCGCTTCGCCTCGAGCCCAATCATCCCGTTCCGCATCTTCCAAAAGATCACCAACGTCGCGGCTTTTACGTTCTCGTGCATCCACAGCTTCGTCTTCATCTCCTACGACTACTTCCTCCCGCTGTACTTCCAGGTCGTCCTCGGTTTCCCCCCAATTATTGCCGGTGTCTCGCTCTTTCCGCTCTTGATCCCGCTCACCGTCATGACGATGCTAGGCGGCCTGTTCACGCGAAAGACCGGCAACTACGTCGTCCCCATCTTCCTCGGCGCCACGCTCATGACGCTCGGAAATGGGCTCTTCATCACCTTCGGCACGACCCCGGACTGGGCCAAGATTGTCTGCTTCCAGATCATCACCGGCATCGGCGCAGGTGTGCTCTTCCAGAGTCCGATGATCGCTATCCAGACACACACCCATCAGAAGGATATGTCGGCCGCCATGTCTGCCTTCACGTTCTTCAGGTCGCTGTTCTCGTCCATGTCGGTGGTCATTGGGACGGTGCTGCTGCAGCGGAACCTGGGAGGAGGAGGGTTGACGGCGCTTCACTCGGAGGAAACATCTGTGCAGACGGAAGGCACGGGGAAGGAAGATTACGTCGCTGCTTTGCATATCATGTGGGCTTTCTTTACTGGTGTTGCTGGGTGTATGATCGTTGCTGCTTGTTTTGTCAAGCCGAAGCCGAAGAAGTCGTCACAGACGTCGGCGCCATAGTCTCGAATTTCCGTGAATTAAATCTTTAGAACTAGAATCACACCGAGACTCAGCTGTTAATAAGCATTCCAATTCGCCTTATTGACCTTGAAGCCGTAAAAGCCTGTGTGTTAGCGTTTCCAACCAGAACCATGCATGGGTGTACAGGGCCGCCGAAGATCGGGCATGTGATTTGAAGAACGTCTGTTTTTCAAGCCCATAGCCCGCCCGATCACAGGTTGTTAACTACTGAAAGAAATTGCCATCACCCTCAAAGTCTTCTGAACATCCCAAGGAGAGTTTTCTTGTTGCACTTGTTTTCACATACAGCACGACTAACCAAAACCTTCGTGGATCAGTTGCCATCGCCGAATAACAGCCTTCAACTTTCGTGGCTTCGAAATCCTGCGTAAAAGTGGTCACAAGGAGCATTGAATACAATTATAAAACCACAAGTACAATTAAGGTAAGTATTTCGGCTTCGTGATTCCTGATTGTGTGACTACATTGACTTTTTTTCCACCGCGCCAAACAAGCCTCCGAATCACTTGTCGTATTTTGTGCCTTTCTGATCAGGGGGTAGGTGTATATTCAATTTAAAATTCGAACTACTTCTCATCAGCAACAGTGAAATCACCTCACCTCAACAGGTGAGGGACAAGGCGGCAGGGGAATCATGAAAGTTTGATACCAGTCTTTCCGTGTAACTTCCTTCAACCGGGCACCATCCTTTTCTCGGTTAACGCTGCACCTCTCCCTCCATATATCATAACAATACCCCGTTCCTCCAAAAGCGGCATCATTCAACAGGGACCTTAGTGGGTCACGGTGTTTGCTGACCATGTTTGTTACTGTTTGCTCTCGTCGGTTGACCGCAGCGTCAATCTGGCCCACTTTTCTTCTCACCTCGAGTTGAGCACAGCTCCTCCTCTCCAACCTTTCAAAGACAAACAAATCATCCACTCAGAACAGCCTTTCGATTTCACAACGAATTTCATTTTGCGCGGCCCGCATTCCAAAAAGTGCAAAGGTCTTGTTCAGGAGCGCCCAGATGATGTCGTCTCCCTACGAATCCGTTTCCGATGACAGTCAACAACCCACAACCGATCCGATGTCATCCTCATCAGATTCACCGGAGACCTCCTCCGATGAGGAATAGTCTGTTTACATAGACCCTGCGGCTGATGACCCTCTCGAACTCCGCCACACCCCGTTCTACCCTAATTTTTTGGCCCGAACAATTTGAATTACTATAGGAAAACATAAAAATCGACTCACTAACTTTTCCGAGAAAATCCTAGTTTTCCTAATAAAATACAGTGGGCTGTGAGTAATTTTACTTCTTTAGGGGCCTATAAGTAACCTAAGCCCCGGCCTCAGCTACTAACTAGGGGCCCCCTACCCGGATTTTGTAATAACGCTAGCCCCAGCGTAGTAGGGCTCAGACCTCCGCAGCACCAGCCTCAGCCGGGCGATATAAGCCGGAAACAGGGGACGCCCGCGCCGTTTTCTAGCAGCAAAAGGCGGCCTCCAGGCCTAGAAACACTACACGCGGGAGGCAATTAACTAGAGGACGCTCAATTTAAGGAGCAGGAACAGTATACAGTAGATTTATAGATATATAAGCTTGCCCTACACAACATATGCCCTAGGGAGCAATCTGAGCTTAGCTCTGACGTCGAAAAATAGAACAACAATAACAACAACAATCCTCCAATGAGGAGGATGACTACCAAGGTCTCAAGATGTCAGGCACGCACTCACTGGGGCTGAACAAAAATTATGTCCTGTCTTGGAGACGACTGCACGCGTTTCGCGAGTTCATCCAAAATTGGTCAGAAATTCTAATGTACTTGCCTGCTCGACGCCAATGCTGATATCCACATAGGAAGGACGGTATCATCGCGGCGTTTGACATGGATCCCCGATCTTTCTTGCCGGTCTGGGACGAAACGACGCCAGGAGTAATCCGCATCTCAGTGCATCGCAACATCGAAGGTCAACGAGAGCTCGTCGGCTTCATCGTTCATAAAGCCAAGACAGGAACAGTCGAGATAGCCAACTTCAACGCCAACCTTTCTATGGATGATTTGAGCATCGGCGGCTCAACGAAGAGGAACAATGATAAGTTCGCTGGCGTTCATGGTGAAGGATTCAAGGTTGCAGCCCTCGTCATGGTCAGATCTGGGATCCCAATCCGCATCCAATCCACATCTGCAAACTGGAACTTCGGCTTCAACGGTGTCAACAAAGATCGATTCTATTGCAAGATTTCAAAGCCTAACACAAGGAATGTCGATTATGAGACGGCCTCGCTTACACAGCAGACAATGGGAGGAACGCTGCGATCCGATCTGGTGTCGTACTCTTCCAGGGACGTGACAATCCAGCTCTCCCATCCAGCAACGGGCAGAGGCTACCGCAACCCTATTACTGCAGACGAGTTCCGCGGGTGGACGACCGTCTCGCTTGACTTGAGCAACCCCGATCCCGACAAAATGATCCGAACACAGCACGGAGACCTAGTCCTCGATGAGAGGTTTGCAGGACAAATCTACTTGAAGGGGTTCAAAGTGAGCGCCCCTACTCTTGGCAGCAAATCTTACAGATTCTGCTACAACTTTGCGACTGGAAAGCTTGGTCGTGACCGGGAAAGAATGACGTCTCACGACAAAGAGGCGGAGACGCTGGCCATTATCTGGGAGACAGCGGTGGCAGGCGACCATGGCAATCTTGTACAGCGTTACGTCGAGCTTTTCAGTGAAGACTGTGTGGATATCATCTCTGCTGAGAAGGCATCCAGAATCTTGGCCCGACGCATCTGGACCTGGCTGAGAACTAGTCAACCGGGCGCGTTTTATTATTCGGAAGGCTCCGATTCCAAGCATGACGGTGGTCATCAGGTGAGAAGGTCTTGGCACAAGAGCGAAATGCAGACAGATTGCTGATGAATGATTTATCACAGGTTGACATCATTCTGAACGATATCAAGAGGCAGCCTCGAAAGCTGGCCAAAGAGCTGTGGCGACTTCTTGTAAAGTACGACTGCGCCCGAACCCCCCAGCAGGAACGAATCCGTCTGTTCTCGTCATCCCAGCCTGTTGGTAATGTGGATGGCTACTTCGGTCTTAACATCTCCCGTATACTGAAGTCAGTTTTGGCAATGGATACAGCACTTTCTGGAATTCAGCTCCAATTCGTACAAGGTGCTGATACCACCATCGACCTGCACTTTGACCCGAAGAGTGGGGTGCTTCAGATCAATCATAGATGGCTCAATTTCGAAGCCGTTCATGTCGAAACTCCATGCGAGTTCTTTGAGATCGCGAAGCATGATGACGTTGACGACATTTTCTACTGCGACCATGTGGTAGAAGATTTGCTTGAGCTTGCAATGAACCATATACGGGACTATGTCGACATTTCTCCTTCCAAAGCCATCGAGCTACGACGCCAGGCTCGGGAGTACATTCGGCAGACCCCCAGAGGCGTCCAAGTTTCCACGACTTCCAAGGCTGGCGAGCTTCAAGTCCACTGGCTCCGAAACAACTACGAGATGGTGTCCAGGAAATACCTCGAGAAGAAGGTCTGCAACGTCAAACTCCATAGTCTCAGCACTTGTGAGACAAGAGGTGAAGACCTCATAATCAACACGGGTATGTTGCACACTATTCTTGCCTCTACAGCTAATAATAAGTCGCACATAGAACACCTGTCTAGTGCCAGGTGCGAATGCCCTTCGACGACAGTCCCGCTGTCGCAAAGCTGTGTCCTCTTTGCAAATCTCGACCCAAATGAGGACTACTTTCCGGTGGTTTGGCGTGAAGGAGAGACTGCGTTCACTGCGTTTCCTCCTCAATGCGTACGCCCTCTGGATAGATCCGAGCCTATTACGCCTCCAAGCGGTCGCTCTCATTCCGTGAGCGTGGAGACGGAGTCTGACATTGATGTATTGATGGAAACGGACTCTGCATACGACAACGAATCGTCAGAGGTAGACATTTACTCAGAGGAAGACATCTACTCGGGGCAAGACATTTACTCGGAGCCAGGCATTTACTCAGCTACACCACAGGCTCGTGACGACCCGCCGGTGGAAGAGGGCCTGGATAGAGGAATGGACGCTCGTGAGGAGGCCATCTCTGAGCGTATCTGGCAGAACGAGGAGTTTCCTCAGCTTCGGTCAATTGTTCTCACTCCACGAACATTGTGCCGCTGCGAGGTGAGTACAAGCAGAGGAAATATTTGGTGACTTTTCTAATTGATGCCTAGGAAAACGACATGGATATGTTTCTGGAATCTAGCCTTTACGACAGTCGTCTGGACATTGAGTTCGAAAAAGACCGATACTATGAGATCCGAGACAGTTCTCAGTGTTATCCCGATTATATCGCTTGGGTGCACGACGTGCACGACGGGAGCGCAGGATGTGTCCAAGAACGTCATCTGAGCGTCGCCAGATTCTCGATTCTTCGGCAAGAGCACCTTTTCCGGGGCGGTAGGAAACTGGATGAGAGCGCCGAGATTGGCGATTTGATGCTGCACTTCTCGTCTGTACAACATATGGGAGAACAGAGCGACGCCGAGGTTATCATGATCAAGGACATCACATTTGCTAAGGCCCTCAGCACGAGCTTCAGAGTCAGGTATCGCCCTGTTTGTCATACACATTCATGCGTCCCAGCCAACGTGGACGGATCCTCGACGACAGAAGAAGACGCCAAGAAGGAGTTGTCTTGCCGCTTTGCTAGGTCAGTGAGCGATGAAACCGTCACGATCACACCCATCATCCCGAAGCACCTAGCCCGAGAGGAACGGCCAGAGCGAAAGGGATTCTCAAGTTCATCCCCAGTCAGTGTCTTCGATTTCACCCCGAACGTTCTTGGGCCATTGGAGGGGTTTGCAGATGCGGGATTCAATTCATTCGCAGCTGTTGGGTTTGATCCAGAGCACAGCATCAGTTGGAAAGTGCGTACAAATTAATTGCTATATGTGGAAGAGCCCCGCCTAACTTGTCAATCTAGGTGCGCTATCCAAATTGCCCCGTTTTTGATGGTTCTCCTCAGCAGCTCTTCAATGACTTGAGCTCTGGAACTCTGGATACCCCCCACTTGCTGGCAGGGGACCCGATCAAAGTTTCCTTAGTGGCAGGACGGAACACTGACCGATGCTCAAAGCCCAAGATTGAACCCGAGCTCAAGGAGAGCTTTTTCGATCCACTTGACATCATGGACTCCATCACGAAATCAAACTTTGACGCGGACTTTCAGGTGCTTCAAATGCCACCTGGGGTATTTCACCCCAATGTTTTTAAACGTTTCTCGTCCACAATCTTTCAACTTCTCGAAAAAGGTGAGACAGTATGTGTCAACATCTCATCTCTGCAGAGTTTCGGCTGCGCCCGTCAGCGGTACCTGGTGAATACCGTTGCCTCGCGGTTTCCTGGCTTGGCCGTAGTACCCATCAAGCTCGCAGCCCATCGAACTGAGGATGACGAGCTCACGCTCATAACCGATCTCATCAAAGACCTGAGCTTCCTCAACCCAAGGCAGACGGAATCTTCAGAGGAGGTGAGAGGTCAGTTCATATGCTCCCCATCTGGGGAATTGGGGGGCAGCAACGTGTCACCAAGTTACGTCTACAACCACAACACCATCATCAGGCGTTCGGAGATCGAAAGCCTTCGTATATCTCCGTCCTTCGATCTCAGCCACTTATCCCCTGAAGATGCAGGCGATTCTCAACGTCAGAGCTGCTTGACCGTTCGCGAGATCGCGAGAATCCAGCATTTCAAAGACGACTTTGTGTTCTACGGTTCGCCTCTCAAGCAGTTTGAGGATGTTATAGCGGCACAGCCTCCACCGGTGGCAAGAGCGATCGCAAACTGCATTGCAAAATGCATCAAGTCCGTTGCTGAGAGATCCGGGGGTAGGGATTACGGAAACAAGTCCGATGGTAATGAGATCGGAGACAGGTCCGAAGGGGAAAGGCCGAATAAAAGACGCAGAGAAGAATAATGATTGGTTGAGCTAGTGAATTCACAGGTAGATATCCATAGTGTAAAGTCAGAGGCAAATAAGATTGTGAAGCATCATAGATAGAAGCTCTTCAGCGGGAGCTGTAATAGTAGCATGTAGAGTTCACAAAAGTCAAAATACGAACAGAGTTGATGTCTTTCATTACTACGCTAATACACTGATGCGTCTCCTCAACTGCGTCCTAATTTCTAATTGGGTATCTCGTTGTCATTCAATCATTCATCAGTAAGTGTTCGTCCGTCTCATAACAAGTCCACCGTCTGCTTAAGCATGAAGAAAGTCCTGACGCGTGTCTGAAAGGCTTCGCAGGAATCTGGCCAACTATTACACAACTGTTAGCGGCTTGACCTTAAGCTCATAAAACGCATTACACTCGCTGACCTCGCCAAGACAAATGCAGTCTATGGATCAACTGACACTGCTCGCATGTATTGCGTGACACCCGAAGTTGCTCCATAGCACGCATAGCAGTTGAAGATGTCTTTATGTCATTCGTGGGGTCGCTCAACTGCTGTTGTAGTCGCCGCATCCGTCACTAGGCTCGTATTCAATGTTGATGATTTCGGTTGATTTGCGACGGCGAGGTCTTCCAGCCCATGACAGTTATTGCAGGAAGACATTCTGGTGAAGGCAAGCAGCTTATTGAGGACGGCAAATTCCACTTTCAGCTTGATGCTGTATACCAGCGGTTTGCTTGTGGTCTGGAACACGAAAAAGTCCATGTATTCCAGCACACAGAGTGCGGTGTCGAGAAGGAAAACGAGGACGAACATGGCAACAAGATAGCCGAGCAGGACTTTCGCTTCTCGGCCCTTGAATTCGAACAATGATTTGAAGTTGTGGAAGCCCATTCGTACGAAGATCGCGGTGATAATGGTCTCTTGTACGGTGAAAACCATGAGCGACACTTTTTCGAAGATGCTGAATCGCTTCGTCCACGCCGGTGTATCAATCCCTGACCAAACCAACGAAAATAATACGGTTTGCGGTATGTGTACCAAGCAAACCGTGGTTATGATCATCGCTAGGACCAGCTTTATCGTCAATCGGTTGTAGACCACCAAATGTAGCCGCGACCACATCACGACCGACTGCCCCGTAACCATCATGTACCACCCAACATGGGCAAACGACCCTGGTATGGGCGTTTTATGTGGTTGGAGGAATCGGCCTAGGCCCCCACACGCGTGGAACAGAATCCCCGTGTTGGCGACCAGCATGCTCCAAAAATACCGGCCGCGTCGTCGTCGGAACGTTGTGAAGATGAGGATGTAAATCTCAATCGCATTGTACATGCCCGCGGTCGCCAAGGCCGTGATGGCGATGCGGTCGGCCTCTGAAAGCTTGTCTCCGATGGCTCCCTGAACCTGCGCCATGATTCGAAGGTCGCGTGGCGATGGGGCATTCCCAATCGTACGGGACGGCGCGCGACGGCCGTTGTGGATCCTTTCTCTCGGAGAACTTCCGTGGGGTGCGTCGGGCCCCCCGTCTGTTCGTATCTTCGTTTTGTTTCGACGTTCGCGATCGAAAGGGAGTCGATTATCTGCCCCAGACGAACAATAATCTCCGACACTGGGACGGCGGGGCCAAAGAGAAATACATTTAAGAACGAGGTCGGACCGCACTGACGGGCACGCGGGTTTCAGCTGCCATGCGTGCTTCCCACGTTGGAAGTTGTTCCCTTCCGAACACTGCATAAGGTTTTGGGTCAACGAGTCATTCGAATATCCTATGGCCTGTATCAATTAGGCCAACGGTCCGTCTCGGGATCGCTTTGTGATCCTTCGGACGGATCTAGGAGCGCCATGGTGCCTGTGCTAATGAGGGGATTGATGGCGCAGTGTCTGAGCGGCGTAGATCTTGCATGTTTCCATCGAGGAATGGCCCTGCTCGGCAAGTTCCTGCCTTTGCGTCACAGATCTTATTGACACATTGCAGTTATCGCGAGGTCTTCGCATGCTACGCAGGGACAATTTATAGTAGGCATTGTTCTCTTTCGGCCGAGATGAAAACCCAACGGGCTTTGTTCGGCTTCGCTATTGGGACTACTGCGAGCCACACCATCTTCCACCGGGTGTGGGTTGATGAAACTTGTCATTCACGGGACGGTGAGATCTGCCCAACGGATCAAGGTTTCCGACCATCCATTTACCATTCGATGAGGTGCGCCAAGCACTTGGTAAAGGCTATTGAGAAGCTTTAAGCTCCCCGGGTTCCAAAAGGGCTTTCCACTCCGGATGTTATCAATGTGGAGTCAAAGTTCAATCTTGGAGAAGCCGGCTGCTCAGCTTCTTTGTGGTGAGGGCGTCTGCTGTGCTCAAAGTGGTGTCTTCTGTTTGTCGTTATAGCATGACTGATGCGTCTCATTCCATGTGTACGTCCCTGCTTCCGTGTCTTAGGCCTTTGGACTACTAGATAATTTCTAGCTTGTGGGGTCTAGCTTCTGCAATCTAGCTTCTGGAATCTTGGTAGATAGCTGAGAAGAGGTTGGTTTCCATAGAAGAGGTTGCTTATAGACGCTCGGTCAAGAAGATGACCAGCTTGCCTTCTTCGCAATTAGCTTGATGTTGGTCGGATCAGTGTTCAGTCGCTCGTTGCTAGGGTGTTATGAAAGGATACAGCGCAGTTTGTGAATTAGCAAGAGGCACTTCAATGATAGATCCGTCGATCTGCGGATCAGTCCGAAGGTTGGGATCAATTGACAAGTTCGTCCAGTGCTATCGCAGGTGAATGCAACGTTGCGGCGCGAGGAAACCGCTAGTAATAAGTCGGGCAAGTCAAGTCAGGGTTTCACGAAAATTCGTTGGTTTCTTGAGATAGAAGTGACTGAGTACAGGTTCAACAAAACTCTGACGCTGCTCTTATTCCAGAATTCACAACATGATCCTTCAACGGCAAATGTCCCGGATGTGAATTAATCCTTGTGAATAAATTGGATGATATACCTTTCGTCTGCCCGTTCTTCTTGTAGTAATATTCTTGCTTGCAATTTCTCCTGTGTACTCCACATATGTTTTTACAATCTCACAGGGTTTGTAGCCTGCGCCGTTGGCAGAGACTGTGACTCCTCTGCTGGTGAAGCCTCCTCCTCAACGCAGCCTTGCTGATCGGAAAGCCCGCCGTAGAAGCTTTCTTGGTATGCGGCGTCTAACTGGCGTTGGAAGTTGGCGTCGACAAATGGCACCTCAGTCTTCTCGTACTTAACGTCAGATAGCGCTTGAAGAGCATTATCAGGAAGGGATTTCCACCCAATGACGTCCCTCCCATAAACCTTATCCCCATCGGCGCCGGTGAAAGGTGCCATGGCATTGTCGTGAATTTGGATCTGGGGACGGGTGGGCATATCAACGCCAACGCCAGAAGACTTGAATGTGATATCGCCAGTTTTTGCAACGCCCCATTTCAGGTGGTCGGTGGTGAATGAGACGCCAACTGGCCAGGCCGAGGTTGCATCGTCAACATCGCATCCCCAGCGGTTGATCCAAATAACGATACTAGCCCAATAATGTGTGTGGCCGTTGTCGTCCCCTTTCGCCCACCGAACTTTCGGGAAGTAGTAGCTGTACATTATGCCCACTCGGCCCTGGCTGACACCGCGGCGGACGTACACTTGACCGCCTTTGCCATCGCCACAGCCGTCCCTTCCACCCCCAGTCGGTCTCAAGCCAGCACTTTTCTCCTAGGTCAGCTTCTGGTAAAGCATATGGAATAGCGGTAGTGCGGTGCTTACCCAAGATTTCCGCTACTATCTACAGCTGCGTAAGGGTCGCAGCCTCCCGAGACGTAGAGATTGGGGTTGAAGCGAAGCTCAAGCTGGCCATCGAATCCAGGAGAGGCATTCTGTGTGAAAGGCACAACCTTGTCGTGGTCGATCCAGTTGTGACCACCGGCATCGTCGCCAGCACGTGGTAATACAGACGATGTCACGCACCTCAGAAGGAGCAGACACCCAAGGAGCGGTTGAGAGTTTCGGAACATCATTGTGTTGTCAGACGTAGTCAAACTGAGGTTAAAGAGAGGTCTGATCTTGCCAGGCTTGAATTGAGTTACGGTCTACTTATGTCTCAAAGAGTAGTTCTCATCGACGGCTATGCCCAGGAGGTGTGATGCTGTCGCCAAGCGTAGTGAAATTGCCAGCCTCGCTGCACAGTTGTGACTTACTATTAATAACTATCCAGGGACAGCAATAGGGTTTGCAGTTTTGTGATTGCGATCCAGTCTCGCTACAACTTCCGTTGATTTCACCGTGTCATCAGAATTATTTGTCCCGCAGCTGTTCGCAGCCTCAAGACCTTCCGGCTGTCAATTTCCATGAGACTTACATGAATCTATTTTGACTTTTTGGTATCTTTAGATGTTCATCCTATGCCTTTGATCGATTTTCTTTTTTCTTTGATGTGGATAGGTCATTGACTCAGATCCCTGACTTCTATTAACACAGAGTGCACCCCCAATAGATCCCATCCGCTCCTCATGTCCCACGCATAAGCCACACCCGCAGTCACTGTGAAGTGACATAGTGTATTAAAGTGTACTTTTTGGAAACTCTGCCAGCACGCAGGCTACCCTTGCAACCCCCCCCCCCCCCCCCCTTTTCCCTTTGATCTTGTCAGGGATGGTTGATGGGTAGAGGAAGACCCATGTTCTTCCTCCTATATAATCTCATACAGTGAGTCATCTGCAGGCCATTGAGGTTATTGATAATATTCTTGCGAACCTGGATCGAAGCTTTCCTAGTTATCATAAACAGCATCACGATGCATAGTAGGCATCTATTAAAGTATAAACAGAATTTTCATAGTGTGGCGTAAACCTCCACAAATTGGATGTGGCTGGGCTCAAAGGGTAGAAGCCACACCCGGAGAGAAAGCGGAACACTACGGAGGCCGATGCCGAAGAGCATGCCAACGTAAAGACATTGATCAGTAAGCGATTGCCTGTTAGTGGCTGACTCGCAGTTGATGCTCGTTATGTACATA